GGACTCGGGAAGACGGGTGACGAGAAAGTAGAGAGTGATATACATGGGAGGAGGGTTTGCGGCGCGGAACTCAGCAGGAAGGGCAGCGCGGTAGCGAGCGTCACTAGCACGGAGGTGGGTAACGAGGTCAGCGACAGTGGGAAAGGAAGCGAGGTCAGGGAAGAGAAACGGTAGCATGAGGCGGCTAAGGGTAGCGGAGGAAGGGGAGGAGTAGCGTGCAACTACAGCGTCGTACAAGGCCTGAGCGGTCTTGCACTGACTAAAGTGGGCACGCTCAGAGGAAGGGAGGTGGCGACGCACAGCAAGACGTGCAGCAGCATCGCGGGTCGCCCACTTGGAGCGAACGGCAGATTCAGCATCAGCAGGCGGGGCAGGGACAGCTCCAGAGACAAAGTCAAAGAGAGAGACCTCATCTATCGCATCACACAGTAAGTACAGCTGTAGGTCTTCAATCCAGACGGCAAAGTCAATGGCCCTCCCCTCAGCGTCAAAAGTAAGAACATTGGGGGTGGCCATGGCAGCAGCTGAAAGTCTCACCGGGCTGGAGGAGTCGGGTAGGTCAGCAGCAGAGGAACACAGCTCAGGGACAGCAGCACGGCTCCTCAGGTGGCTCGCGTGGCTCAGGCGGCTCGGGCGGCTCGGGCGGCTCGGGCGGCTCGGGCGGCTCGCGCGGCTCGCGCGGCTCGGGTGGCGTAGGGGCTCACGGGCGGCGCGCGCTGCTGGGGCTGCTCACGTGCAGCACGGCGGGCTGCAGCAGGGCCGGTGGCGGGCTGTAGCAGGGCCGGCGGCGGGCTGTAGCAGGGCCGGCGGCGGGCTGTAGCAGGGGCCGGTGGCGGCTGTAGCAGGGCCGGTGGTGGGCTGTAGCAGGGCCGGTGGCGGGCTGGGAGGCTGTAGGCGGGGCCGACGCGGCGGGCTGTAGCAGGGGCCGGTGGCGGGCCTAAGCGGGGCCAGGGCGGGGCCGACAGGGCGTAGGTGGGGCCGGCGCGGGGCCGAATAGGGGCCTAAGCGGGGCCGACGGAGCCTACGCGGCCCCGACACGGGGCCGAGACGGGGCCTGGGCGGGGCCTACGCGGGGTCGACGAGGTGTACGCGGGGCCTACGCGGGGTCGACGAGGTGTACGCGGGGTCGACGAGGTGTACGCGGGGTCGACAAGGTGCACGCGGGGCCTACGCGGAGTCGACGAGGTGTACGCGGGGCCTACGCGGGGTCGACGAGGTGTACGCGGGGTCGACGAGGTGTACGCGGGGTCGACGAGGTGTACGCGGGGCCTACGCGGGGCCGACGAGGGGTACGCGGGGCCTACGCGGGGCCTACGTGGGGCCGACGAGGGGTACGCGGGGCCTACGCGGGGCCGACGAGGGGTACGCGGGGCCGACGAGGGGTACGCGGGGCCTACGCGGGGCCGACGAGGGGTACGCGGGGCCGACGAGGGGCCTAAGCAGGGGCCGACGAGGGGCCTAAGCGGGGCCGACAAGGGGCCTAAGCGGGGCCGACGAGGGGCCTAAGCGGGGGCCGACGAGGGGCCTAAGCGGGAGCACGACTGGAGGGGCGACTCGGAGGGTCGCTAAAAAAAAATGCGCGCCTCGGGGCGCGCTTCGGTGGGCCCTAGGAACAGGCCCTAGGAAGGGACCTGCTCTGATTCCATGAGAAAGTACGAACGAGGAGGGAAATGACTATGAATGAAGTGAGTACAAATAGGAAACCCTAATTGGGTTGTACCCCCTATGGGATACCCCACTATAGCCTACAGAAACAAGTAAGCTATGAGTTCTGACATACTCTCAGGATGTCACATTCCTTGAAACCTCCCCCTCAACTCCTCTTCACCCACCACCACCTCTACCATCACCCCCTACTCCCGCACCTGTCACTTTGTCACTTCACCCGCCTTCCCAACCTACCTCGTCACCAGACCCTATCAATCCTCCTCCACTGCCTGCTACACATGCAAAAACCTCTCCCTCTGCTACTCCGTCTACACCTCTCTTTCCCACACTCCCCACCCCTCCCTTCCAGCCTTTCACCCTTCCCACTTCCCTTCAGAAGCCAGCCTCCACACCCACTTCCTCACCTCTTCTATTTCCTCCTCTTCCAACCCCGACTGCCCAAGACTTTCAGCTCAACTTCTCTGACCCCTCCATTAACACCATCCTTGACGAAGATTGCGAGTCAGCCCATTTTTTTCATGACTTTGCCTACATTGCTCTTCATTCCCACTACGAGCCACCTACAATTACTGCTGCCCGCTCTTGCCCCGCTGCTCCCCAATGGCTTGCTGCTGCTAACGCTGAAATTACTGCACTCCTGGCCAACCACACTTACAGCATTGTGCCCAAACCGCCCGACTGCTCTCCGATCCCTTACAAATGGGTTTTCAAGGTCAAAGAGAACCTGGATGGATCCATCGAGCGTTATAAAGCCCGTTCGGTCATTAAAGGCTTCACGCAAAGTGAGGGCATTGACTACACTGAGACATTTGCACCCACCATTCGCTTTGCTACACTTCGCTTGCTCCTCACCCTTGCTGCTGCCCTTGATCTTGCGATGCATCAACTCGACATCTCCAATGCCTTTCTCAATGGCAACCTTGACGAGATTATTTACATGACCCAGCCACCCGGTTTTGAACTCCTTCCTGCCAACGGCTCTCCTCAAGTTTGCCTCCTGCACAAGCCCTTGTACGGCCTCAAGCAGGCTCCTCGCTGTTGGTACGAAAAACTGAAATCGGAGCTTCTCACATTTGTCCTTCACACCTCCGATGCCGACCCCGGACCTTCCATTGCTGCACCCTCCTTACCTCTTCTTCCACATCCTTCCCACAATAGGGGTTGGGTTATATTAGCTATAGGGTGCCCCCTGAGTGACTTTATCAAGTGCTAGGCACCCCAAATTCGGCTTTAGGGCACCCCAACACGTTTCCCAACCTTGGGGACGCGGCTCCAGCCTGGACCAGCGAATTTCAACATCAAAAACGCGGCTCCAGCTTGGAATTCGCGTTTCCAATTCGTGGAATCGCGGTTCCACTCAAGGGGGCGCTTCCAAGCCCACTTTGAGGGTCCCTCACGTCCCCATCTTGACTGTGGGCGACTTGAGCACCCATTTAGCCACCCCAAGTCCCTTGGGTACCAAATTCATCTCCTGGACCAACCCAAGTCGCCTCCAAGGTAGCTCTCTTCATTTTCTGCCTATTTTAGCTTTTGTTTTGCTTGTATTCATCACTTTAGTTAACTTTCTGTTTGTAGACCCTTTTCAACATTTCAGAACCAGCTTCTCCTTGTGCACGTTGTGCACATAGGCCTGATTTTCTACAGATGGGGAAACAGTGGGGCATGGGGAAACAGTGGGGCATGGGAAAATAGTAGGATGAGCAGTGGGGCATGGGGAAACAGTGGGGTGCATAGTGCGCGTGGGGAAACAGTAGGATGAAAAGTGGGTGATGGGGAAATAGTGGGTCATGGGGAAATAGTGGGGCATGGGGAAACAGTGGGGTGCATAGTGCGCGTGGGGAAACAGTAGGATGAATAGTGGGTGATGGGGAAATAGTGGGTCATGGGGAAATAGTGGGGCATGGGGAAACAGTGGGGGATGGGGAAACAGTGGGGCATGGAGAAACAGTGGGGGATGGGGAAACAGTAGGATGAGCAGTGGGGGACGGGGAAACAGTGGGGTGAACATTGAGGGATGGGGAAACAGTAAGATGGACAGTGGGGGATGTGAGGTGAGTGGGATGAACAATGGGGAAAATGAGGTGAGTGGGGGAAAACAAAAAAACCGGGTGAGTGAGGGAAAACAGAAAATGAGTAGGAAGGGCGGAATGAGGAGGAAAGGCGGAATGAGGAGGAAAGGCGGAATGAGGAGGAAGGGCGGAATGAGGAGGAAGGGCGGAATGAGGAGGATTGGGTGGAATGAGGAGGATTGGGCGGAATGAGGGGGGAGCGCAGAATGCGGAGTAAGGGCGGAACGAGGGGGATGTGCGGAATGAGCACGGAGGGCGAAACGAGGGGGGGAGCGCAGAATGAGCAAGAAGTGCGGAACGAGGGGGGAAGCGCGGAATGAGCAAGAAAGGCAGAACGAGGAAAAAGGGTGGAACGAGGAAAAAGGGTGGAACGAGGAAAAGGGGCGGAACGAGGAAAAATTGCGGAACGAGGAAAACGGGCGGAGCAGGGAGCTTCCTGGTGCGATGCAGGAAGCTTCATGCTCTTGGGCAGCAGTGACACACCGTGGAAGCTCTGCAAGTACACGGAGGGAAACAACACAGGGTTTCACACAAGGAGAAGTTTCTAATGTGAAAAATGTGTGAAAAGTCTCTAATGGGATGAGGGGAAATGGATGATGGGATGAGGGGAAATGGATGATGGGATGAGGGGAAACGCATGATGGGATGAGGAAGGGCGAAACGAGGAGGAAGGGCGGAACGGGCAAGGCCGGACCGAGCAAGGTCGGAACAAGCAAGGGCGGAGTGCGGAAGCAATTTTCTCACCAAGTTTCCGAAACGAGCGTGGCGCTCGGTCCGCGGCACAGATCACGTTCTTCGCGTCGCACATCTGCCACGTGAGCTAGGGAACCATGAGCGCGTGGTGCTGTTGCGACCTGCGCCACGTGAGCAGTTGTTAAGGAAATTAAACCACTTTCCTCGAGTCGGAAACTCCCGATTTAGATTTCCCAGCTTCAGAAGCCTCTCATCCACTCAACCTGCCCTGCTCCTTGCCATGCTTCCAGATGTGCCATCCCAAGGGTCTTCTTGACTAATATTAGAAGGGCAGCAGAGCGTGAAATTAACGCTTGAGCAATAGGATCAACAATGTGAAAAACGTGTGAAAAGTCTCATCCACTCAACCTGCTCTGCTCCTTGCCATGCTTCCAGATGTGCCTTCCCAAGGGTCTTCTTGACTAATATTAGAAGGGCAGCAGAGCGTGAAATTAACGCTTGAGCAATAGGATCAACAATGTGAAAAACGTGTGAAAAGTCTCATCCACTCAACCTGCCTTGCTCCTTGCCATGCTTCCGGGTCCGCCCTCCCTCCAGCAACTGTGGTAGTAGGAGGTTGGGACCCACATGTCCTTTGTCTCACTTCTGCCTCCTTACCTGCCTTCTCAACTCCTTGCCCCCTCCTGCTTGTTTTCTGATCCTGCAGGTCTGCCCTCGCGCCAGCGGCAGCAGGGGGGTGGGCGCACATGTCGTTTGCATCGCAGCTGCCGTCGCACTGCTGGAATCTCACCACCGCTGCTCTCCGATCCAACGGCTCTCAGCTGCCCATGCCCTTCAACACCTGGTCCTCCTTCTCCTCCTCCCCCACTGCTCCCACTACCACCACTGCTGCCCCTGCCTCCGCTCCTGCTTCCTCCCCTCCTGCTGCTTCTGCTGCTGACACCACTCAGATTCTCGACTTTGTCCCCTCTCCCTCCTACACTCTCTTCTTCTCCTACTTCGATCAGACCCTCTCCTTCCCCCACCTCCCCCCCTGCTTCCAGGCTGTCATGCCTCCCCCTCCCTCCCTCCCAAACCCTTCCCCTTCCCCTCCCCCTCGCCCACCCCCCCGTCCCCCTCCAAGCCCCCCACGGCCTCCCCCAAAACCCTCACCTCCCCCCTGGCCCCCCCCAAGTCCCCCTAGGCCCCCATCTCCCCCACCCCGACCTCCGCCGAATCCCCCCAAGCCACCCCCTCCTCCTTCCCCTCCCCCACGCCCTCCCCCTCGCCCTCCTTCCCCCCCTCCCAAGACTTCAACCACTAGTAAGCCCCCTCCCTCCCCTCCCCCTAAGCCTCCGCCCTCCCCTCCCCCTAGGCCTCCGCCCTCCCCTCCCCCTAGGCCTCCGCCCTCCCCTCCCCCTAAGCCTCCACCCTCCCCTCCCCCTAGACCACCCCCAAGCCCCCACCACTGAAATCACTCACAAGTTCTCCCCCACCAAGACCCCCTCCCTCTCCTCCCCCCAAGCCCCCTCCATTCCCTCCCCCCAAACCACCTCCCGTACCTCTGAAACCTCCTCCCAGCCCACCTAGAAAGCCCAGCCCCCCACCACCAAAACCTCCTCCTCCCAGCCCCCCCCCACCCAAGCGCAAGTACCCACCACCTCCCAAGAGGCGATGGCGCTCTTTCTCCCAGAGATGAGCCAGACTGGCAGGCTGAATTCTTTCCCTCCCAACCCCTTGAAACCCCTTTTTTAACCACCTCCTATGAAACCCGTCCCCCCACCTCCCCCGCCGAAACCTCCTTCTCCCTGGCCCCCACCACCCAAGTGCAAGAACCCACCTACCACCTCCCAGAAAGCGATGGCGCTTCTCCTTTCTCAGATACCGTATGCGGGCTGAAATATGCATGAAAGGCGGGCTGAAATCCAGGTCCCATCCCACCCACCCCCCACGTGAGAAAAGATTTGTTTTGAGACGTCTCAAAACAAATCTTGTATCACGTCTCGAAACAAATCTTTTATCACGTGGCGATGGCGCTTCTCCTTTCTCAGATACCGTATGCGTGAAAGGCTGGTTGGAATTCATGTCCCATCCCACCCACCCCCCAACTAGCTCCCGCTTTGAAGCACCTCCATACCGGTAGCAGCCCATCCCGTCCCGTCCCTACACCACCAAAACTGCTTTCTCCCAGCACAACACCCTGTCACCGCCACCCAAGTGTTGATAGGCAAACAACAACCACCTACCAGAAAGCGATGGGGTTTCTTCGTCCCCCAATGGGCCTAAAAGTGCGAGTGGAAAACCATCTAGATATTTCTGTCCTCTTATTGTACCGTACTAGTACATAGTAAGGCAGATACTGTATACCACCATATAATAGGCCCCCCTACCCTGAGCAGCGAATCCAGGCCTCAACAAACGGTTGATATTAGTAGGGGCAAGCCGAGACAAGCACATGATACGGTATGATTCAATTCACATGCGGCACTAAGCAACCACCGGACCAGTAAGCTTCGTTCCTTTCAGTCCACCTATTGCAACCAGTGAGGCTGCCAGCCAGCTACCACTATTGAATACTTCCTTTCCCACCTCCACCCCACCATTCCAACAAGTCAGTTGATACCATATCATGTCATATCATATCACACTGACCATCACCTACCGTATCTCTTTCCAGAGTTACCCCCACTCCACACAGCCACTACTCCGGCATTCCATTCCTGCACCACAGCACTCCCTTCCTTCCAGCTCCAAAATGCTGCTGAATCTTCTCCAAGGTCCCCCACCACCAAACAGCCATCCCTGTCAGGCACTTAGAATCACTCCAAAGGCCACCAACGCAATCTAGTCATCACCGTCATTATCGTCACTGCCCCCACGTCCTCCCAACCTCAGTCCCTTCCTGCCCGCACCACTCCCATTGCAGTTTCCAGACCAAGACCCACTTCCGTTGCAGTTTCCGCCTCCCCCACCGGGCTCCCCCTCAACCCCGCGCCAGCACCCTTCCCTGCGCCTGCACCCATGCGTCCCGCCGCTCCCTGCTACCCCGCCCCTCCGCTCATGCCGCCCGCTCCGCCTGCACGTCCTCCACCACCACCACCACCACCACCACCACCACCACCACCACCACCACCACCACCACCACCACCACCACCACCACCACCACCACCCACGCCTGCACCTGCGCCTGCGCCACGCCCACGGCCTTGCTGCTGCCCTGACCCCTGCCGACCAGCACCGCTGCCGCTGCCATTGCCAGTGCACCCGCCAAATCGGGAGCACTGGAAGGAACCAGAGCTGGAGCCGGAGCCGTCGCGCTTGCGGTCGTGATCGTGGTCCTGGTCACCAGACCCATCCCTCTTGCGATCCCTCTCCCGGTTGTCCGCCACCACGTACCCCGCGCTCTGCATGCCACCGCCCTGCATGGCACTGTGAATGCTCACCGCCGCCGCGATTCTCCCCGACCCTCCGCCTCCGCCCCCGCCGTTGCTCGAGCCGGACCCGCCACTGCAGTTTCCACCGCCCTTCTTGCCCTGCCGCACCTTCCCCACGCTGTTGCTGCCGCCCAGCCGCCCACCACGACCCGCATCCGCACCATCGCCGCTTCCCCCGCCGCTGCCGCCCTACCGGTCGGCGCCAGCTTTCTGCTTGCCGCCGGCACCGGCGCCGCCTCCGCTGCCGCTGGCGCTGTCGGTGCAGCCGCCGGAATTGCCGCAGGAGCCGTCGCGGTCGCGGTCCCTGTCGCGATCCTAGTCGCGGTTGCCCGAGCCGTCCCTCTTGCGCTCCCTCTCGCGCTTCGGGCGGTCGTCGTCGTCGGCGACGGCGAAGGTCGCGAGGTTGATGAGGAGCAGGACGATCCCGAGGGCGAGAAGCTTCGACGAAGCCATCGATCGGTGTACTATTGCCGGAATAGAGGGATGAATTTATTGTAATAAAGTACTATGGTAATAAGCTTAACTTGGTAAAGACGATGCCAACTAGCTCCAATGGACGGCTCTGAAGTGCCAAGTAGACGGTCGCCGTTAAAGTTGTCGGAGATAGACGGTAGGATCTAACGATGGCCGTCAATGTCCGGGAAAGCTGTGTCACAGTGGTTGCAATTTGCAGATTTGAGTGTGAGACTTTGGTGGAATGATACGCTTCTGGATGATGAGGGAGTTGGACGGGACGAAATAATATTTATAGTACAAGGCCATTTCATATGACGTCGACGGCCGACGCCGAGTCGCGAACCTGCTCCGGGGCGCACTCCCGCACACTTCTGAGCTACGATGCCGCATCAGGGAGACTGTGGCGAAGGGGGGAAGGGGCGCGAGGGGGGGGGGAATAGGCGGCTGCGCGGAAGGAGGTTACCGTGGAAATAGCTTTAGAATACAACCCCCCAGCCTCGAGTCGCACGCGCCAAAGCCAGAAAAAGTAACTAGACCTCTCAGCTAACTCCTCTTCCCTTGGTCAACATAATGGTATATTCTAGCGAAGGCTCCTCCTCTTGCAGTCTTGCAGCTAGCGAACGTTGCCGCTGGTCATGGTGCTCGTCGCGAGCGTGTGTTGCTGTTCGCGAAAGACGAATCCTCGCTGGAAACTTGAGGCTTTTTGCTGGAAGGGTGCTTCGTAGGAAACTGCGCTCAGTGAGGCAACCTAACGTGGGCTGGGTGTAGGTAAAAAGATATTGCTTCATAAAAAACGATACCTATTGAATAAAGAATAAGTTACAAGCTTGTTTAATTTCTTCACTATATTCATGTTGGATGATCCATGTTAATAACAGCGTGATATACAGTGTTAAGAAATACGGGGTAAATGATGGTACTTGGATTGCATTATTCTTCCATTCACGCATGTGTGAAGATAAGTATGATTGAAATTGATAGTGCTAGCGTTGTAATGAAATATAAAAATTAACATATCTTCATATTGGCTAGTGTATGTCTAGCTAGCCACTCACTGTTACAATTACACCACACTTCTAGCTGTTCCAATTACGTTGAAGCCAGCTATTAGTTCTTTCGTCGGAAGCCTCACACACACCTCCTGCTGCTTCGAGGGAAAATGGGAGTAGAGTAGACCTTGAGAGTGCGAGCCTTCGCCAGAAACGATCGTAGCTTGTACGACCGTGCAGCCTCGGTAGCGTCGCGTCGCAGTCAAGCAGCACTGCTAGCCGGGATCTTGCGCGCCAGCTCAGCGCGCACTTAGAGCGTGTGGTGTCGTAAAAAGATTCTATCATGGTGCGCCAGCAAGCCTCTGTTATGATAGCACCAGATGCTGTTTGGTTACCAGCCACTGCCAAGGGGATAACCGCCGGGCAAGGCAGCTGACAGCTCACTCCTCCGACAGCTTTCGTTGCGCGACGGACCGACCTGCCATTGGCAGTTGTATCCAGCGCGGACTGGGAAGGAGAGAGGCGGTGAGTGAGTTCGTCTGGGTTTGTTTGGCAGGACAGTACTGAGGTAGTACAGTAGCGGCCAGCCAGCCTGGGTGGAACTCAACATGCGTGTGCGGCTCGTCGGGGGACGGGCCATTCCACCCGTCGCTTCCGACGAAAATTCCGAGCGCCGGAAGACTCCCTTTTCATTTCCCCCCCACCGCGCATACTCGCGCAAGCCCTCAGTCTCTCTCTCGCGGAGCGCTTAGCCCACAGCCGCCTCCGCCGAGGGGCCGGGTGCGGTGCGGATGGAGGGGGGCTCGCTCGAGTTCCGCCTTGGCTGCGCGTGCAAGTCTGGACGTCGCCTCGCCTCGCCACGTCACGTTCCGCCGCGGCATGTGTGTTGCGCGTTCTGTGTCATGTGTTGCGCTGCGCCCCGTCGCGTGTGCTTTCCAGCGGCGGCGCGCGTTGTTTCAACTCGAGCGGATAAGGTTCGCGCCTCCATCGGCCCAGTGTCGCCCGCCTGTCCAGTAGGATGCGCACTCGGCGGAAACCAGGGCGCGGCGAAACAACCACATGACAGCCCCAGCGAAACCACCGCGGCCCAGCCCGGTAATGATCGCCGCGGCACAGTTTCGAAACCATTCCCACCCAAATGCTACTACTATAAATCCCGAGTCCATTCTCGGGTTTCTCAGCATCGTTTAGACCAAATCCACCCGTTCTACTCACTCTCAATAGCAGGTTAACTCTTTTTCAGCGTCTATCGTAGGCCTGTCGTGTCCACTACTACATATACTGAGAATACCACTACCCTCCGTGGACATCTGAGAATACCGATGGCTTCGTCGAAGCTTCTCGCCCTCGGGATCCTCCTGCTCGTCGTCGTCAACCTCGCGACTTTCGCCGTCGCCGACGACGACGACGACGACGACCGTCCGAAGCGCGATCGCAAGCGGGACGGCTCCGGCAACCGCGACCAGGATCGCGACAGGGACCGCGATCGCGACGGCTCCTGCAGCAAGTCCGGCGGCTGCGCCGGCAGCGGCTCCGGCGGAAGACAGAATACTGGCGCCGGCCGGCAGGGCGGCGGCGGCGCGGGCGGGCGCGGAGGCGGAGCGGGACGAACGGGGAGCGGCGCTGGCGCTGGTGCGGGTGCGGGTCGTAGCGGGCGGCTGGGCGGCAGCAACAGCGCGGGGAAGGTGCGGCAGGGCAAGAAGGGCGGCGGAAACTGCAGCGGCGGGTCTGGCTCGTGCAACGGCGGAGGCGGAGGCGGAGGGTCGGGGAGAAACGCGGCGGCAGCGAGCATTCAGAGCGCGGGGTACGTGGTGGCGGATAACCGGGAGAGGGATCGCAAGAGGGATGGGTCTGGCGACCAGGACCGCGACCGCGACCGCAAGCGCGACGGCTCCGGCTCCAGCTCTGGTTCCTCCCAGTGCTCCCGATCTGGCGGCTGCACTGGCAATGGCAGCGGCAGCGGTGCTGGTCGGCAGGGGTCGGGGCAGCAGCAGGGCCGCGGTCGTGGCGCAGGCGCAGGTGCAGGCGTGGGTGGTGGTGGTGGTGGTGGTGGTGGTGGACGTGCAGGCGGAGCGGGCGGCATGAGCGGAGGGGCGGGGCGGCAGGGAGCGGCTGGACGCACTGGCGCAGGTGCAGGGAAGGGGGCTGGCGCGGGGATGAGGGGGAGCGGTGGGGGAGGTGGGAACTGCAACGGAAGTGGGTCTGGTTCTGGAAACTGCAATGGGAGCGGTGCGGGCAGGCAGGGAGGGAGGAGGGGAGGACGCGGGGACAATGATGATAATGATGGTGATGACTAGATTGAGGTGGGGATCATCAGTCCAGCCTTTTTTTGCTGGAATGGCCATGTGGTGGAGGGGGGGAAACATGGGGAAGAGACAGTTGAAGGATGGGTGAAGAAAGGTGGTGACTATGGGATGCATTTAGAGCTAGAGATGACAGTCTGATTAGGAATGGTGGGCTGGGAGCTGCTCTTTGTGCTGTGTGGGTTGCATTTCGCTTTTGTTCTGCTTTATTACACGTGATTGGTATGGTTTGTTGGGTTATTCTGAAGAAGATTACCCATTTGTGATTGTCTATCCATCTAGTGGAAAGTATTGTTCTTTGGGAGAATATCTTTCACAATAATGTCTCACAGATGTCTTCATTTAAGCTAAGCTCGTTCTGCTGCACATCTCCATAGCTAAATAGGGAACAGCACACGCATATGCAGTGACGAGCTGCAAATGGAGGTGTCGACTTTGATGGTACTTAGCAAACTTGTAACAGCGAGCGAAGAAGAAATGGTCAAGTTTATCCACTGACATGAGCAACAAATGACGAGGATCAGGTTGGACGCGTTCTCGTAGGTTGTAGAACATTCAGGAGGGATTAGGTGCGGTTGCAAGTCGTTAACTCCAGCCCTCGATTCTTCAGATTGCCTGCTCACCATGTCCCAACAATCCTGGTTCTCCTAGGTGGGCTGGTCAGTCTCTGGGCTCTGTACTGAAGTGTAGGCTGGATGCTTTCAGAATCTGCGGTACGGATAGTGGGCGAGGAGCACTAGCTTCAGAATCTGAATACGAGGACGAGAACCGAGGTGTTATTTCTGCATTTAGGTAGCAAATTTTACCGGCGAGTGAAAAGTAGTCAGTCGGTTACCTGCTAATTTCACTTGCACAGACCGGAACTAGCTTGTAGCAGATTAGACTAGCTTACCGCAACTGGCTTTCGACTGGACTCAAGTCATCTCTTCGATTTGAACGAAGTTTAGCGAATCACACGGAATCCGCGATGAAGCTTCTGAAGAGAAGCTTCGAGAAAGACGGCCCAGGGGTGGCCAAGGTGTGCTGGGTGGAGTATGGGGTTCTTTCCTTCTGTGAATACTCTCTTCTTACCGTTGGAATCCGCGATGAAGCTTCTGAAGAGGAGCTTCGAGAAAGACGGCCCAGGGGTGGCCAAGGTGTGATGGAAGAATGGGACGATTCCCTTTGAAGTACTCGCATGTCACATATAAAGGAGAAGAGGATTATGTTGTATGGTTAAGGATGCAATGCGATACTTATGGTCACGTGTTAGAGACTCCTCGGAAATGTTATTGGGTGTGTTATCGTACACACAGTCGTGATCCCTCCGACGTTCCTCCTACTATCTCCCTGCTTTCATAAACGCCCCGCAAACCTCTGCCACCTCTCCCCTTTCCCTCCTCGATCTTCTCCCCCCTAGATCGTACCCGAGGGTGGAGGAGGACCTATGGCATGCGTACAACCTCATTCCTCGTCCTTCTATCCTTAACCCCCTTTCTGTCCTCCCCTCCCCTTTCCCCCCTCCCTCCCCCCCCAACCCCTCCCTCAATCCAGATCGTACCTGAAGTGGAGGAGGACCTATGGCATGCGTACAACCTCATTGCTCCGCATGACCATGTGCAGAGCACCACGTTCAGGTTCGTGCTCAGGTGGATGCTCAGGTACCTGAATGGACCCTCATACCTGAACGCTCGGGTGGTCTTTACAGTACCTGAACTAACGCAGCAGGCAATCTTTGTGGGTCATCTCAATCAACTTCTCATGCGCTGACTGACTGACTCACATTTTGAGTCGACTCGAAATTCGGTCGGGTGGTTCTTTGTACAGTTCCTGAACTGAAGTAACGCAGAAAGAAATCCTCGTGGCTCACCTCAGTAATCTTCTCATGTGCTGTCTCAAATTCCCCAAACCAACACTCGCTCCCTCCGTCCTACAAATCTACCTCCCTCCTACAAATCTACCTCCCTCTTCCTGCTGGATGGTTCCAGGAAGGTGCAGAAGGAGACGGGAGGGGGCGGCAGTGAGTCGGAGAGGATCAAGCTGAGGCTGGAAGTGACAGTGGAGGTGAGTGGGGAGGGCGGTGGGTGAGAGAGACACTAGAGCGAGGATAACAGGTGTTGGATTAAGGTCAGGACGGAGAGGGAGAAGGCAAGGCTATGGGGTGTTGAGAGACAGCAGTGAGTCGGAGCGGATCAAATTGAGGGTGGAAGTGGCAGTGGAGGTGAGAGAGAGGAGGGTGGTGGTAGGGATGAGCAAGGTGGCGAACACCTGTCCGGTTCGCCTGGAACACGTTCGAGGCGAACCGAACAGGTATTTTTTTTTGGCTTAAAATGTTCGCCGAACAGTGTTGGATGTTCGCCCGAACACGTTCGTGTTCGGGCCGCCGCTGCAATTTGCCCGTGACGAACACGAACACTGTTCGAGGTTCGCCCGAACACGCCTTCACAGGCGAACGGCGAACACCATATTTTGCTCAAAGTGTTCGCCGAACCGAACAGTGTTCGGTTCGGCAAACGAAGGTGTTCGTGTAGGGGCGAACACGAACACGTTCGTGTTCGCCACTTGCTCATCCCTAGGTGGTGGGTGAGAGTGACCATAGAGTGAGGATAGCAGGTTTTGGGATAAGGTCAGGGAGGGAGATGAGAGGAGCTGTGGGGGTGGGGTTGAGAGGCAGCAGTGAGTCTGAGCGGATCAAACTGAGGCTGGAAGTGGAAGTGGAGGTGAGGTGAGATGGGAGGGCGGTTGTGGGGTTAGAAAGTAACCTGGGAGCATACATTGTATTGTAGCAGGGTGGTAATGGCTTTTACGTATCGATTTTTCTTGTGTTTCTAAAGTGTGTGTCATTCAATTTTGTGAAGAAAAACAAAAAATGGGATACTACCTGCTTTCCGTGATTAATCCGCCCCTTCCAACTGTTATTTAACAGGAAGTCGATTTCGATGCATCGGCACACGTCATTCGAGTTCGCGGGAAAAACATTACTGAGAATGAGCATGTGAAGGTGAGGGGAGTCTTGCTGAAAACGAGTGAAGAGTAAACGGGTGTGAAACGAGTGTGTGAGTGTCGTGTCACACACATAACTGTCCTCTCTTGCCCATATCTGCCCTTACGCTGTTCTGCTCTCATCTGCTCCCTGCACAACACCTAGGGGGGACACACCACACACACATTGGAGCTGGATCTACACCTTTCTTATCCAGCTGTCCTTTCTCCTTCCGGTTCCACCCACATCTGCCCATACGCTGTTCTCATGCCGCTCTCTTGTGTGGTTGCTAAACCCCTACACGGCAGCTGGGGACTTTTGAGGCGCCTCAAAATTGTTCTCATGCCGCTCTCTCGTGTGGTTGGCTAAACCCCTACACGGCAGCTGGGGTCATATCACACACACACTGGAGCTGGATCTGCAACGTGGTCGTTTGTAATCAGCTATGCCTCTCTCACGCTGCTCTCATCTCATCTGCTCCCGTCATCGCAGCTAGGGTCATACCACACACTGGAGCTGGATCTGCAGCGGGCCTTCACACTCACCAAGGTACTATTTCCAAGTACCATCTTCCTCCGTTGTTGTTCCGTCGTAGATTGGCATTTTTTCCATTGCTGCCAAACTCGGAGTGTCCACGGCATGCCTGGCGGATCTGGGCCTTCACAACCCCCCTGATAAAAGTGTTGTTTTGAGACGTCTCAAAACAACTCGGGGTGTCCACGGCATGCCTGGCGGATCTGGGCCTTCACGACCCTCCTTCCATGATTCTCACCCCCCTTCCCCCCCCCCCCCCCCCCACCCCACCACACCTCTTTTGCCATGCCCTTGATGTCTTGCTTCCTCAGGACGTGTGGGACTCAGTGGCTATAGACCGACTCAAGGAGGCATGTGGTGAGTGGGTGGAGGGGAACATGGGTATGGGATGGGAGGGAGGATTTGGTGGGCTGTAAGGATGGCTGACACGGGACGAGTGGGGGTTTGCAGTGAGTGGTACGGCGTGTGGGACTCATTGGCGATAGACCGGCTCAAGGAGGCAAACGGTGAGTGTGTTTAAACTTTAAAGAGATTATGGATATGGGGGGATTTAGTGTGATTTTGTAGGGCATTAAAAGATAACGTGGGAGGCAGTGGTGGTGGTGGTGTTTGTGCTGAAAGGGTTTAATTAGGTTAGAGACACTTTGAGGGGAAAGAGAACGTCCATTTTTTTTCCCTCACAACTGCTGTTCCTCTCCACGTCCTACAGTCATTTCATCGGACCCAATCATGCAAACGTGTCATCTGCTTTGAGACGTCTCAAAAAACTCGACTTTTATCACGGGCCTTCTCCTTTCCCCGTCCTCCAATCATTTCAGAGGACCCAATCGTGCTGAATGGTCGTCTGCTTTCGCTCTCTCCTTTCGCAGACCCTTCAGTTCAGGGAACGTGTTTTTTCCCCCCTTTGCCGTTCCCTTTTCCTTCTTTCCCCGTCCCCCCGTGCCTTTTCCTTTCCATTCCCTTACCTCTCCCTTCCCCCCTTCCCAAACCCACACAAACCCCTCCCTTCCCCCCTCTTCTTCCTCCAGACCCATCAGCCAATGCGGACCTACTAGTGGTGGTGATACAGGAGGGGCTGGCTAACGTTTGTCCTACAAACCCAGTGTCCCCTTCTCTCTCCCACCTCTCCCATTCCTCCACCTCTTCCCTCTACCCCACCCCAACCCACCACTCCCACTTCCCCCCCCCCCGCCCTTCCCCCTCTGTCCTCCAGACCCCTCAGCCAATGCGGACCTAGCAGTGGTGGTGATACAGGAGGGGGTGGCTAGCGTGTGACCCACAAACCCAATGCCCTTTCCTCTCTCCCACCTCTCCAATTCCCCCACCTCTTCCTTCCCCCCCACCCCAACCCACCCATCCCACTCCCCCCTCCCCCCTTCCCCGCCCTTTCCCTTCTGTCCCGCAGACCCTTCAGCCAATGCGGACTTAGCAGTGGTGGTGATGCAGGAGGGGCTGGCTAACGTTTGTCTTATTGGGGGGAGGTGAGATCTGGGGGAGGGGAGATCGTGGGAGGTGAGATTCAGGTGCTGCTGAGGCACCCAAAGAACTGCCTTGGCCGTGTATCTCTGTTCGTGCCCAAATAAATTATGGAATCTGAGCGTCTGGATTGAGTTTGACCCATTTTGAAGAGGCGACATTAGGGGAAAGGGAGTTCTATGGATACTGTGGTATTTTTTACCTGTGCTATTCTTTCTCTGTGCAGAGTTAAGCTGCTCTGAAGAGTTTTGGCGACCTATCAAATCCCCATTTGTACCTTCTTTTCCCCTGTAAACAGCGTGACTACAGTAAAAGCGCGCATAGAGACGCCAATCCCAAGAAAACGAGGGCCGGCAATTGCAGGATATGATAAGGTGTGTGTGAGCGAGCATCGAGCCCTATTGCATGGTTGGTTGGCTTTTGAGTCGACTCAAAAGTCAACTGTGTGTGAGCATCGAGCCCAATTGTATGGTTGGTTGGTGGTGGAGATGGTGGGGTGTTTTTTGAGAATTCTCTTTTGAGGTGACTTTTTAGCTGGCTTGAGATTCAGAACGAGCTCTGGCCATTGCGGGATTTGATAAGGTGGTAGTTGGACGGGGTGGGGTGACTTCTGAGGTGACTTTTTTAAATGATTCAAAAGTCAGAACGAGGGCCGAAACATTGCCCTTGCGGGATATTATCAGGTGTGTGTGATGCCCTCTGGGTGGCCGGTTGACGTGGTGGGTGAGAGCAAGCAAATGGGCATATGAGTGATGCGTGTGATGCATGTGATGCGTGTGATGCGTGTGATGCGTGTGATGCGTGTGATGCGTGTGATGCGTGTGATGCGTGTGATGCGTGTGATGCGTGTGATGCGTGTGATGCGTGCGTGAGGGATATGTGAGTTGCTTGCTAGTCAGAGTAAAGAATGCACTCTTTTGATTCATGCCTCTCTTTGTTCCTCCCATCCCACCATCTCACGTGCAGGCAATCAATAAGTTCTTCGAGAATGTATTTCAGGTGAGCATGCCTTTGAGCTGATCTGATCTTCCCCGGAGTAACTCCCTCCTTTCCCTGTGAGGTTCTGCGTACAATGTTCTGAGAGCTTTCGAATTGCATCTTCTTAATTTGCTCTCAACCTCTTTCCTTCTCCCCTTTCATCTCCGTCTCCCCTCTCCTTTCCCTCTCCCCATCTCGTCCATTTCCCCCCTCCCTTACGCTCCTTCTCTTCTCTCTGCTCGTCTCATCCACAGGGTGTGCAACGGCACATTGACTTCAACGTTATCCGCTGCCTGCTTATAGCGAGTCCTGGATTCACCAAGGTACTGTCCTTCCACTGCTGTTCATCACATCCTCGTTATAACGTGCTCCTCTATTAGCAGCTTCGCCATGTACATAACCAGCTCTTTGATACTAAAAGTGCCCTGCCTTCATTTTACTCTTTGATGCTCTCCTCCGATCGGATCACTGTCACATGGCACATGACCATGTTTGGACTGGGAGGGCTTTTGAGGTGCCTAAAAAAAACATGGCACAGGAGGAGCTGGTTTTTGAGAATTCTCAAAAAACAGCTGTCACTGGCACAGGACCATGTTTGTACTGGAAGGAAGCTTGCTGTATGTCAGGCGTTTCAGTGATCCCATATGTGCTATGTTGTCCCCCTCTTCCTATCCGATCTATGTCAGATGCCTTGCTACCAATACGTCGTTGACCCTACATACTCTGTTACCACGCATGCTATCCTTCTGTTTACCAATCACTCCCGCACAGCACAGGACCAGTTCTTGAGTACATGATGCTGGAAGGAAGCTTGGTCCGTGTCAGTCAGATGCCTTAACTATACATACATGCTCTGCATTCTCACTCCTCCCTCCGTCACTCCCACACAGCACAGGACCAGTTCTTTGAGTACATGATGCTGGAAGCAACACGGCAGAACATCCGAGCCATCATAGAGAACAAGGCTAAGATCGTGCTCGCACATTCAACATCGGGATACAAGTGAGTATGTGGGGGAGGATGAGTGGTGTTGAGACGTCTCAAGTGCGACCCAGCAGAACATCCGAGCCATCATAGAGAACAAGGCTAAGATCATGCTCGCACATTCAACATCGGGATACAAGGGGGGGATGGATGATACAGATGGGAGAGATATTCATGCTTGTGGAGTGGCAGTATATCCGAGCCATCATAGAGAACAGGGCAAAAATTGTCCTGGCGCACTCAACATCGGGATACAAGTGAGTGAGTTGGGGAAATGAATTATACAAATGGGAGGGGTATTTATGCTTGTGGAGCGGCAGAACATCCGAGCTATCATTGAGAACAAGGCCAAGATCGTGCCCGCGCATTCCACGTCGGGATACAAGTGCGTGTGGTTGGGGGTGTGGATGATGTAACGTTTACAAGTGAATGGGGGTTGATGCGTGTAGAGTGGGCGAGAAGCAGCCGCCATATCATAGAGAACAAGGCCAAGATCGTGCTGGCGCATTCCACGTCGGGATACAAGTGAGTGAATGGGGGGTGGTGAGTGAATGGGGGGTGGTGAGTGAATGGGGGGTGCTGTAGCAGCTAGGCGTGGGATGCAAGTGAGGAGGGAAAGGCTGTAGCATCTATGCTGGCATGTTCAAGCATGAATGATGCTAGTAAGTGGGGTGTTGATGCTTGCTTGTAGAGTGGGCGAGCAGCAGCAATCATGGAGAGGCAAGGCCAAGATCCTGCTCGAGCATTTCACATCGGGATACAAGTGAGTATGTGGGGGGTGGGGATGAATGATACAAATGGGAGGGATGTTCATGCTGCCGAACATCCGAGCCATCATGGAGAGGCAAGGCCACGATCATGCTCGAGCATTCCACATGGGGATACAAGTGTGTGTGGGAAGGGGGGGGGGGGGGGCAGTTGGATGGTTATTGTAGCCTTTACAAGTGAGTGGGGCTTTGATGTTTGTGGAGTAGAGTGGGCGAGCAGCAGTCATTATGGAGAAGCAAGGCCAACACCGTGATTGAGCATCCCAAATCGGGATACTAGTGTGCTGGAAAATTGTCATCAGAGCACACTTGTTGGTGCCTGATTACTGTATCACGATCAGCTGGTTCTAGAATTTTCTGAAGAAAGAGCGCCCTGATTTTAGGGTGTATGGTTGTGTGCATGCACCCGTGCCTGCTGGTGTCGACATCATGGTGCCTGCTGGTGTCGACATCATGGTGCCTGCTGGTGTCGACATCATGGTGCCCTGTGCAGGCATGCAGTGAAAGTGGTGTTGGCATAAGCCAGAATAGTAAGATTGAAGGCACAAGTTAGGACGTATTTGCCCCTCCCCATGTTGATTTGACTGTGTCCCATGCAGGCACGCAGTGAAAGAGGTCTTGGCGCTGCCAGCTATCATGACTCAAATCAAAGACACCAAGGCAGCTAAGGAGGTGAGTGGGTGAGTGGGTGAGTGGGTGAGTGAGTGAGTGAGTGAGTGAGTGAGTGAGGGCGTGAGTGTTTGAGTGAGTGAGTGAGTGAGGGAGTGAGTGAATGAGTGAGTGAGTGAGTGAGTGAGTGAGTGAGGAGTAAGTGAGTGCATGATTGAGTGGGTGGGTGGGACAGTGATGGAGGAGGAGAAGCTAAATATGGTGTGGTCTGGTTACATGTGGGTTGTGTTCCGACCCATGACCCATGATGATCTATGAACCATGACCCATGATGATCTATGACCCATGACCCATGATGATCTATGACCCATGACCCATGATGATCTATGACCCATGACCCATGATGATCTATGACCCATGACCCATGATGACCTATGACCCATGAGCCATGATGATCTATGACCCATGACCCATGATGATCTATGATCCATGAGCCATGATGGTCTATGACCCTGACCCATTTTGAGGCGTCTCAAGATCCCTTTTGTGCTTCTCATCACATCGCTTCGCCCAGAGGCGGCTTGCGAGCTGGCTGGCCCAAAACATCGTCTCCCTCCCCTTCCCAACTACCCCCTTTTGTTCCTCCCATTGATTCCCCTTGGACATGCTAAAGGCGCACATCATGCTCTCAGGTGTGATTTTAGCTGACATCCGTTTTTTTAGAATTCTCAAAAATCTGCCTTCGTTTCCCTTCTCCACCCTTTCTCCCTGCCTGCGATGTCTTGTGGCCAGGTCAAAGCACTCGAGGACTTCTATGCCAAGCTCTCAAACGTGATCTGATCATCTAAGCCCTCCTGCTTTTTCCCCCCACCTTCCCCAACTCCTTTTTCTTCCTCCTGTGCCTTGTGGCCAGGTCAAAGCACTCGAGGACTTCTATGCCATGCTCTCAAACGTAAGTGCACCTGCATTGTAGTCAATTGTGAGAAATCTAAACGACGACCGTAAGTGCGGCTGCCTATGACGAAACGAATGTATTCCTTGTTCTTGTTGTCATTCTCCCCTCCACGACTCAGCAGCACAGCCGTTTGCACAAAATTCAAGCTGTCGATAAGAATTGCAATCTCAGTTGGAGGCATGTGCTGCACAGGCACAGCTCGTGTGTTTCTAGAGTCAGCTCAAAAGCATGTGCTGCTGCACAGCTCACTTTTGAGTCGACTCAAAAGAAAATTCAGGCTGTCGATGAGATGTTTTACTTGCAATCTCAGTTGGAGGCATGTGCTGCACAGCTCGTGTGTTTCTAGAGTCGGCTCAGAAATTGTCTACGACCCCTCTCTCCTCATGCCGCCATGCCGCCTTCAATGCTGCAGGACTCAGCGGGTGCCTTTTACGGTCCCAGGCACGTGGAAGCAGCAAACGAGCGCCTTGCCATTCACACACTCCTATCTCATATTACCTTTTTTGGTATGCTCAGTCCCTCCTCTAACCCTTCTCTCTCCACACTTCCACAGGACTCAGCACGGGCCTTCTACGGTCCCGGGCACGTGGAAGCAGCAAATGAGCGCCTTGCCATTCACACACTCCTCATTTCTGATGACTTGTTCCGGTGGGCATCTTTTCATTCCTTGCTGGCTGATTCTCAAAATGGC